TTCGTCTTGTCGAAAGCGTCATCTCCAGAGTGCGGTAGTAACGTTTTACAGAGACGTTTTGCTCCACGTTCTGTGCTACTCTTGTATTTAAAGGCCAAACGTTCCAGTCTTGGAAATGTGGGGCAACTCTCATGCAAAGCTGCTTGTTCATGGCTTCTAATAGCGCAAAAACAGTTTTTCAGCTTTGTTCCTCAAATATAGAGCATAAAGGCAGACAGTTCCAATTGCCCCAGTGATCCTTCCATCCTCCGTGCTACCCCATACGTTTCTGGTAAGGTCATAAGCACTGTTGGACAGTTTTGGAACTACAGAACCAAACATCAGCAAATCCTGCCAGATAGGGGCGCAGACTGAAAACTTGAGGTGGGAGCAACAAAAGTCTCACAGAAAATCAGGATCTCTTAAGACTGGCCAAGTGTGGTGAACGGCTACACTGGCAAACGCAAGACCAAAGAAGAGGTGAAGACCAGTCACTGTATTCACAGGGTTGTTGAGCGCAGCTGCAGCTTGGCTGCAAATATTTTTCCTTGTAAATCCTTCACTTTAACCAATTAGGATTCTATAGAGTAATTTCCTGTGTGAAGTTTAGGACTTAAGCAGTTGTCCAAGGTAGTTAACCCTGAGGCACTATAATTTTATACCTAAACATTTGTGTGAGTGTTCCTGATTCCATTCTCATGTAATGGTTTAAATAAAAAATGCCAACTGTCTGTTACATTGTAAGCATCAGACTTTTTTTTTGACAAACATAACTTTCTATCTTTCAGTCTGAAAAGTATGTGTGGATCGGATCTGACTTGAAGGAGTGACATGACACTCTAATTTTAGGGTAGTCCAGGCTTGCAAGTAAAAAGTGTAGGTAGCTACTAAAGACTGCGACAGCAATTTGACTACTCTTTATTTTTGATTACGGTGTCGGTTGTAACTGAGGACTTGTATGGATGACCAAGTTTGCTTTTCCTTCTTAAGCTTCAGAAGGAAAGATTCTGATTTCCTCTCTGTTTTTTTGTTGTTTTTTAAAAAAAAAAAATCAGTGATTTTTCAGGAATGTTCATAATTTAATCTAAAATTGTTTTCTTAAATAAGATAGTAGTCCTTAATTTACATGGATCTTGTTGCATCTTCTATGTATCCTGCAACTTTTCCACTGTCATCTTAATAGATTTTTAGTGAAAAAGGATTCGTATACATGTATACATATATATATTACAAAACAGTTTGTACATATAAGCATTCATAGCAAGCACACTTAAGGCAGGTTTCTGAAATAATTCTAAAACATTTGCATGTTAACAGGTCTTTGAGTCCAAATGTGATAATTGACATCTATGTATAATTTAATTGTCTTTTATTATTTAATGCAGGTTCCTGCTATTCAGCAAAAAAGAACTGTAGCATTTCTAAACCAGTTTGTGGTTCACACAGTGCAGTTTCTCAACCGCTTTTCTACTGTTTGTGAAGAGGTATGTTTATTATTTTCCCAGCTGTCAATTTATACAGTGAAAAAATCTTAGAAATGGGAACCTTTCACTTGATACTGGTAGCTTAAACCAAAATATTTAGTCTGCACTCTGTTCAAGGTTTCTCTTGAGTAAGTGTTTAAGACAGACTTTTTCCCCAAGATAGCCACATGAACTGCTGATTATACCACACTTAATCCTGTTTCCTTAAACTTTTATGTTTGGCACAGTCTTTGAACTTTTTGGTAGATGGAATTTGTTCTGAGCAGCTCTGTCTGTGGATATCGTCTTGTTTTAGAAGAAGGATGCCATATTCCTATGGTGCTGAGTCCATTTTGACAGTCAGTATCCCTCTCATCTGTGTCCTAGGATATTGTGTCAAAACTTGCTTTCAGATTTTGTCACTTTTAATTGAATTTAATTTAATACGCTAAGCTCTGAATGTAAATAATTTTGATGTGGAAAAAAAGACATTTTTGGCAGATGATTAGTATAGAACATGAAGCAGTTAATTTTAGTGTCTTGTAAAAAAGAGAAAAATAAAAATATATCATGTTTATAAGTTTCTGTGGTGACTTTAGTGTCAATGGAAACATACCAGACTGACACAAGTAGAATTGTCCACTGAACAGGACAAGAGTGCCTCCTCCCTTGTAGAAAGGGTGTTTTCTAATGTAGCTTTGAGCTTAACCTTTTTGTCATTAATAGGTTTTTTGGTAACTGTTCGCTAGTTTATTCAACAAAGACTACTATACAGCCCTAGCCAGCAGGGCTGGGGCAACAGTCAAGTCCAATTAGACTAAGACATGTAATCGGAGAAATTCTGTTATTTGTTAGTAAAGTTTAGAGCCAGACCCGTGACAAGTATAAAATTTGGCTACTACATCAACATGTGGAACTTTGGAGGGAAAAAAAAGTAATTTTTGTCTAGATTTTTAAACGTTGTAACTTGGTACGTGGGACAGTGTAACTGCCTGGTGGTGGTGTTGTCAGATGTCCAAAACTCAGTTGTCATGTGGTCTCGATATTACCTTTTATATAGGCGCTATGGAAATCAGGACACATATATTTAAAGCCATCTTGAGCGTGTGGCAACACTGTGAAGTCTGCTTAGTAAAGCAGTTATTGGTTAACCTAAATGTGTTGTTACCCAAGAGACTAAATAGTTGCTTTATAAACACCTTGCAAAGTTTTTTTGTATTTATGAAGTACAGAAGTGTTTTTAATGTGAAAGGTCCCAGTGTAAATCAACAGAAACCGAGAAATTAAAAATTATGGCTGACACCATCCTTAACTCTAAATTTCTTTGCTCTTGTCTAGTCAAACTGACCTGTAAAGTTACGTAACTGTTTTTTGTACTTCTTTCCTCCCCTTTCCCCAGCTACATGTAGGGCACATAGTTCCTTTTAATAGGAACTAACTCCTCTTCATGAACAAAGAACCATCTGTAAACAAGCCAGTGCACTATCCAAAAAGACTAACTCCTGTCAGTCTCTTTTTACTTTTTTAGCGTATTGGCAGAACTGCCATTTTCTTAGAGTGTTAGAGTTCTGCTTCAGAGCCAGGCAGAATCTTGCCAGTGTGCCAGAAAGCTGTCAGAGTGGTACATATCTGCCAGCCAGCATGCTAGCCAACTTCACTTGGACAGGTCTGGTGGAGTATGGTAGTGATTAGTTAAAGGAGTGACAGATCTTTAGAGTAATTTAGGAAAAATGAAATTGGGGGTTTTTTTTTTTAGAGCGTCAAAATTTGATTAAGATGCACCTGGAGCATTTAAAGCTCCTGGTTAATTATACTTCACTGTGCATTTTGACTATATAGGACTTTCAGTCACCTGCTGTATTCTTTATCAGATTTTTCTACTTTATATTTGTTGTATACACACACATCACATCTTTTCATCTTCCACGTTTGGAAAAAGCTTTGAAGAAAGACGTTTTGGTGACTGCAAGAGAACAATACGTGTACCATTATTCTCCAGTTGGCCAAAGTAATATCCCATTTAGTTCAGCTTTCTTTCATACATAGTCTGTCTTCATTTCTGACAGTCATTATTTGGGAAAACTAATCGCCTAGTAAAATTATTTAAAATTTGAACCACTGTACTAAAAAGGGATGTCATTGCTTCGTTTATTTCGTAATGTTATCATCTCATTTACACTCCACTGTGCCTTCAGCAGGTAGAAGACAAAAGTTGTTTTGTTTAGCTAGATGTGAACCAGTTTATATGTGCAAGTGGCCTAGGGGAGTGTTTTCATGTCCTAATTGTTTTCTATTCTAGAAATTGTCAGCACTTTCTCTCCGTATCCAACAGATTGAAACAACACTCAATATTTTGGATGCAAAGGTTTGTATGTATATAGACTTTGTATTCTAACATTGACAGCCTCCTAGATGACATGAACTATCTTTGTTTTCATAGTCTAAATTGAGCAAATAAGTTTTCATAATGATTTGAAGGAGCTAATACAAAATGCTTACATGGCACATTCTCTTTTTGCATGTCTTGCAACTTATATTGTGTAATATTTGAACATGTAGTTGATATGGAAAAAAGGAACCAACAGCACATAGTAGAAATGTTTTTGTCTCTCTTAAGCATATTGAACAGGAAAGAAGCACTTGGATCTTGAAAGGGCAACTGAACTACATGGCAGCTTACTTGTGTTTATTTTATTGCAATGTTTGGTTTTAAGAAAATGGAGGGAAGTTTTCCGATATTAGTATATGCAACTTGTGTTGCAGGGTTGCAGTACAAAATTGCATTTGCCATGTGAACTCTAATAAGAAATTTTTTGCCCCTTTTGTAAAGCAAAAGTATCTTTGTAAATGTTAGCAGACTGTAAGGATAGCAGACTGTAAGGATTTCAGCTGGTATAAGTAACTAGATAGATGCCTTGTAAAGCTTTTGATGTTGAAATGTGACCTGAATTGGATCTAAGGTAACACAAATGTGTCTGATTATCTTCCTTAGCTAAAATGACAACTGGATATGTAGTCATGTATTATCATTTAATTTGCCAAAAGAAAAAAAGAAACCAAGCAAAAAAACCCACCGACTCTACAGTTTTAACCAATCCTTCTTTCAATAATGATGGAAACAATTTCTGTTGGCTTTTCTGGGAGCCAGGATAGGAAATTTTGAAACTATTCATTAAGATCTTTGTGAAAAAATACTGTAGTAGTGCAAACAGTGCTTGCACGTATTTATTTCAAAATATTTAGGAATTATCAGTATTGATAATTTTTTGCAGAATTATTCATAATCATGTTAAGCAGAACTTCCTTCAAATAAATATATGGCATATTTAATATCCATTCTCAGCATTTCCTTCAAAAAGATTGAAAGATGTAGGTAACCAGTCACCCATCTGTTAGGTAATAGAGCTGTTCTTGTCATGATTTCTTTCACTAGAGGAAGCAGCAGAGAAGATGGTGTGACTCTTCTGTAGCTGATAAGTGCAATAGCAAAATACTGGGATGGTGTTGAAGCCTTTCCCACACTGTGAACCTCTGTTAATAGTGAAAGCTCTAGTGGAGTGTTTTGGCGGTTTGTTGTAGAAGCCACTTGAATAGAAAAATCTTTTTCCCATCAAAATCCCTAAACTAGTGATAAAAAGTTACAATTTTACAAATGTGAAAACTACCTGGGGAATATGTGATAAGCAGCATACTGCAGATTTTATTGTACAGGTGGACTTATGATATGCTCATTGCTTATTTGATGATGTTTTGTACATTCAGTTATCCTCTATTCCTGGCCTAGAAGACGTCAAATTTCAAGTGTCCAGTGCAAATACGAACAGTGTTACAAATGGTCCTGTGGTACAAGCTACTACAGATCAACAGACAGCTGTATCACCTCAATCTGGAGTAAGTAATGAAACATAACTAGTACATTGAAGGAGTATACCTCTCCATTTCAGGTCTCTAGTCTCATTTGAAATAGATGGAAGCAACAAGTCTGTTGGAAAAGAGCAACCAACTGTAAAGTTCTAAAACTATGTTTTTCATTAATGAAACTGTTTTAATGAGTGACTTAAAAAAGGCTATCCCCTTTCTTGAATATGTGGCTTAAATAATTAGAACTAACTCAAATCTAATAGTAAATGCCTCCTTCTTCTTCAGTCACACTAAAATGTGAATGTGAATTATGGCAGGGAACTGTGAAGGTCATGAATTAAAATAACAATTTGAATCACATAATTCCATCTCTTTTCTCCTTCCTTTAGAATGTGAGCTTTCAGCTCAAATTGGAGTTTCTAGCATACTTTATTTTAAAGAGATTATTACAGTGAATGTTTTCTATATATTATCATCTGTGTACAGAAAATGCCAGTTTATAATAAGTGATCAACATTAAGATCCTATCCCTGCAATTAAGTTTTTGTTGGGTTTTTTGTGTGTATTTGTGTGTTTACTTTTTTTTTTAAACCCAGACTTAAATCCTGTGATCACCACTTCAGTAAGTGAGGCTTTCTGGCTCATGTGTAGATGGAGTTCTTTCTGCAGCTTCCTATTATAGTTTATTTTCTTGGAATCTCCAATTCCAGTCTCTGCTTGTTCTCTTATTTGGTGGAAGTTGCTGTGGAGCAGCAGTTAGCATTACATATTTCAATCATGTTAGAGAATGACTCCTGGTTATTTTGTTTTCTTTAAAAAGTTCCTCCTCCTTCTCTGATACTACAGGAGGGACAGGTATTTCTGAGAGGAGGTTTCCAATGCTACTTTCACATGGTTAGTTTAATAGCAAATATGCCATTTTCTGTTGTCCTTTAAATAGTAGTATAGCTTCTTGTAATTTTCCATTTTTTTAATTAATTACTGTCAAGGATTCTTTGATTTCATTATGTTATCATTTAGGTTAATGGTTTATACTAAAAAGTATAGTTTAAAAGCTATACGATCAGTATGAAACATTTGTCAAGTAATCAAATAAATATTTTGAGGAATAAAGATGTTGAACCACTAGGGGAGATGTATAGATACAATCCTTAAAAAAAATTTTTTTTATAAAGTGAGCATTTAAATTTAGTTCAGTTTTATTCATTAAATACAACAAACTTAACAGGGCTATTATAGACTATTTTTTTTTTTCACATATTGTGCAATAACTTAAAATTGTGACTAAAAGTAGAAAGTCACACTTTTAACAGTCAGTAACGAAAGAGATGGTTTTTGTGTGCTCACACATCTTGGAAATCTCTAATACTATGAGTGTAGAACAGAATAATCTTGATGTAAGAAGAGTTACATTTTATGCTTAAATTACAAATTTTATGGATTGAAATCTGTCCGTGCTTCTGGTCTGCTTATCTAACCATTTAAGTGTTATCTTCTTTGTATACAGCAGAACAATATACATGAAGAAGGGTTACAGAAAACAGAAGTCGTAACAGAAAATGTCAGAACTGTGGCTAAGGATCCAAGATATGCCAGATATCTCAAAATGGTACAAGTGGTAAGTGAGTTCTCTTATCAGTCTTTGAGTACTCCTTTGTTTTAGGTGGAACGTCACACAGAAGCTGTAAGTGACCATTAAGTGTCTGAAAACATACATGGTGGTTTCACTTGGCTAGCACTTGGCTAGCAGCCAAACACAGCTGTTCACTCACTCCCTGCCCCTAGGGAATTGGGGAAAAAATTGGGGGGCAAGGGTAAGGAGACTCTTAGGTTGAGAAAAGAGCAATTTAATAACTGAAATAAAATAAAACTTAAAGTAATAATTATAATAATAATAGTAATCAAATATGCAAATGAGTGATAGTGATACACAGTGCAATTGCTCACCAGGCGCCGACCATGCCCAGCCCATTCTCAGATAACGATCCTGGAGGAGCGACAATCCCAAACTGACACCACAATCCCAGAAAAGAGAGAGCCTGAGCAAAAGCCAGAGAGCAAGAGAGGGTGAGACCCTCACTAATATACTGGACATGACGTGATATGATATGGAATATCCCATTGGCATATCCAAATGCCAATTTAGCTTATTAATTTAAATATTCCTCGCCTCCCTAGATCTTACACTTGTAGACTAACAAAGTCCTTCAACTTCCAGTGACAAAATGAAAACATTGGTATGCTATCAACTTTTTTCTTGTAACAAATCCCATGCTGAAACCAAAATACAGCGCTATCCTAGCTACCAAATAGAAACCTAGCTCTGTCTCAGCTGAAAACCAGGACAACATACATTGCATCAGTAATCTTTAAGGTAGGATAACATCTCAGGATTTCTAGCGCATCTTCTCTAGTAAACGAGCTGATGTAACATATTCCCTCAGACACCTTCAGGCAAGATCTTTCTACAAAATTCTGACAATATGCTTGAAGTGAAGGTATGAAGGTGTGTAAATGCAGTGTGAGATTAGCTGGAGTCACAGAAGGCACCACTGAAATTGTCGTTATCCTGGCAGAATTGGTGTCATTCCCTACACTACACACAGACGTGATTACAGTTTGGTTCTGCTCTAGAGTACAAAATGCAGCTTTGCTAGTATAGTCCAAAGCAGGAGTATTTCATATATCTGTAGGATTCAAAATAGAGATACAAGAATTGCTTCAGTACTTGGTCCCACTTCAGTTTCCTGTTATTCATGATGCAGGTTTTGCTTACCTCTTTATCTGTGGGCTGTTCTACAGATAAATAGGAAATAAATGAATGTAATCTCAATATTTACATGAGTGAAAACTAATGAAAAGGTGGAAGTGTGAATGGGGAGATTCCTAGTGATATTTTTATGAGGTTTTTTTCACATCCACAAAATTAAAAATGAGAGTGGAAACAAAGAAAAAAATCTGTCTTTATTTTCAAGCTGTCAGTGGAAATTTTCCTCCGAAATATATGTTATAGTTCTGGAAAATATGACTATGCCAATTGTTGCTTATGTTAAAACTAACTTAATGGTTTCACTCCCTCTTCAGAGAAACTATTACAATTGTTGTGCTTGGTACTTTGAATGATGTTGCAGACCTTATTTTTCATTTGAATCACAAATTGGCAGTTCATGGGTACCTTATTACAAACTATTTGGAAAACCTAGCAGTGGGGTAGTAGCAGAGAGTAGAACACTCTGTTAGTGTGTTGATTTAATGCCAGACTTTAAAGTGGATGTGAAAGTGCTGGATGGTCTAATTACTTTGACTTTTTTTTTTGTGACTGCTAAGGGAGTGAGATCTCACTTTCCACATTTATCCTTTGTACTGGCAGTTCCTGGTGCCTCCTCTGCCAGTTGTAAACAGTGTGGTAGGAAAGTCAAACTAACGTACTACAAATTAATGTGTCTTTTTGTATTTGCCAAACTTGTCCTCTCATCCAGTCAGGTATTTCAGTTAGTATCATTTATTTGCCCAAATTAAGTTTCTAGCTGAAGATTTGTTTGAACTGATCATTTACTTATGGCTCACAATATTTGTAGTATTTAAGAATTAACACCATGAAGATATATTTCTTTTTCACTAAAGACAGCTGTTCTATGAAATAGTAACAAACTCATTTCGATGAAGCGCAGTTAAGCATACTAAATTAATATTTTTAAAATACACAGCAATAATATTCAAACAAACCTTACAAAAGCGGTATTGCATTTGCTACAATAAATGTGCAGAGCACTTCTCTTGACAGTGTGAGAGGAGCAGCCTGAGATTTCAGATAAACTTCATGTTTAAAGTACAAATGCTCTTGACTTGATTCTAAACACCAAACATAACTGCATAGACGACAAGATACTGACTGGCCTGATATGGATTGATCCTTGCTTTGAAGGACTGAAGTGAAAACCAAACACGAAGAGCGCGCTGTTTTTCAGGAACTGGCAGCACTGGTGGATGATATGTGACCTCTTTCTGCATTTTCATGAACCAAAACCTATTTTGCAACAAGACTGCAACTTACGCTGTGGCTTCTGTGGGACCTGCACACTTCTGAAGCTGCAGGACCAGACTGGGAGTAGGGCTAGAATCCACTGTGTTGAGTCTGTGGTGATTTGGATTATTTCAAATCTTAACTGAGCAGAGACAAATGCAACAGAAATTTAGTATTGGCTCCTAGGTTAGAAAAGTACACACCTATGCCATTTCAGTGGCCCTGTTTACTCACTGTACCTACTTTTTAGATTTAAAATAGTTGTCTGTTTTAGTAAAAATTAGGATCATAGTTGTATTAAGGCCTGATTTTCCAGATTAAAATTTATGAAAGTATGAAAGATAAAGTAATTGTAATGTAAATGTAAAATAAAGTAATGCCCTAATTGTATTATAAACAGATATAGGTGCAATCTTATTTGTTTTCCTTTAGGAGAAAAGTACACTGTTAAGACTATTACGATTAAGATTTGTAAATCTATGATATATGAGGGTACTGACAGCTTTTTTTCTTACATATTTTGATGCCCATAATTTCGGAATGAAACACTTATCCAAATATGAAAGTAAAAACCTAACAGTTTCCAATCCATTTTCAGAAGTTCATATACCAAGCTCCCTTTCATTGAGAGCAAATACAAATTCTGATTTTCCTGGTATGGCTTAGTCTTGTTTTCACATGGTTTGAATTGACGCACAGACAATTCATCAGTGACTTGTAAGCTGGGGAAAGAAACCCTGAGAGCAGTCAAGCAAGGAAAAAAACATTAAATAGTATGAGATGGTATGTAGGGACACAATCCCTGGTGTCCAAATCTATACTAAAATAAATTAATATTTTAAACTGTCATGAAATACTCAAATGCTTTCTCCTTTGTAATGTACATTAGTTGTGAATAGCTGCGAAATTCTTTATTACAAGCTAATACTTTACAACTGTTTGAGTCACATTTTTGCCAATATGCCTAATAGATTGCTAAAACCGTGTACCTGTCTGTGTGCTATTCCAGAATTTTCAAGCAAAGTGTTGACTGTGATTCTTACTGTGAAACTGCCCAAGGAAAACACAGTAAGACAGCTAGCTTAGCTCTCACTTTGCCAGATTAGCTACTGTGAGTGTCACTAGTGCCACATGCTTCTCTGGAACATTACTCATGGCTGCCTTTTATTTTATTTTATCACTATTTTACTTACTTTGGACAAAAGATATTTGTCCTGTGCCAGAAGAATTCTACACTACTTTTCCTTTAGGTTGTGAGGCCTCTCCTGACTCCTGACTTTCGTAGACCACCAATAGCTTTGTTCCCTGGAAATTAGAAATCATATCCTCTTCCCCCCCCCTCCCCCGCTTCTTTTATTTCGCCTATCTTGGCATGTGGTGGGCCAGATGGTGTTTGTGGTGGTTGCAACAGGGGATGGCAAAGCAACAAGTTGTCTTTGAGTAACTCTTGTGGAAACATAGGAGCAGTTTGGTGGAATGTGTCTTGTAAGACTACATGGGTCAAAGTGTTCTTGGGTGTTCCAAGTGTGCCAAGATGAGGGGATGTTTAGGTGTTACTGAATAAAATAAAGTGCAGAAGCTGTGGAAGGACTTGCAGTGAAAGGAAGGAATTTTTTTTTAACACATACATAGTTGGCTAAAATCTGTCCACAAGTCATAGAAGATTCAAACCTGACTGTCCAAGCACTTGTATTCAGAGGAATCACTTTTAAACTGTGCTTCTGTTCTCATGTCCTGGTTGGCTTTTTATGCATGCTTTTTAAAGACTTTTCTAATTTTTAGCACTGCCTTAAGGTATCCTCCTTGAGCTGTAGCAAATTCACTTTCCTGGTTTTCCTCCCTCTCTGGCTGTACCTTCAGCATGTCTGAGTCTTCTTCATCTTTCTAGCACAGCTGTTCTCTGGTGTCTTTGTCCTACTTTGTGCTTTCTCATCCATACACAGAACTTCAGCTTCCTGGTTTTGTCTGCATGAATTTCAGATATATCTGTCTGTTCCTGATTCTCTCCCTGCAACTTTCTCTAGATATTTTGCCAAAAATATAAGAAGTATTAAAAGGGCCTTTGATCTTAGTAATTTCTTCCTTCTAGGTTCATACAGATGGCAACTGAGATTATCAGTCTTGTTCAACAAGTGGCATGCATAAATTTGTATGAAAGTGTAGCCTAAAAGAACTTGTGGAATTTAGTTCACCTGTTTGTGTCCAGTAGTTTCATATTATTCTTCTTCCTCCTACACAGGGTGTTCCTGTAATGGCAATACGAAACAAAATGATTTCTGAAGGGCTAAATCCAGATCTTCTCGAGTAAGTAATTTGTAACTTTCAGTAGGTCTGGAATGCAACAATGTGTTTGAAAACTTTTGAAAAAAGTGTGCTTAGTGAAGCTTATTTATGGTATTGTGAATTTAAATTACCAGCATTAAAACAGGTTTTAAAGTCTTACAAGAAGAGCGTTTTTAGTATTTTATAGGTGTGAAGAGGACCATGAGTAGCAGAGGAGGAATGCAGTGTCACGTAGGAGTTGTCCTTTCAGTATTGTCTAGTCCAAGGCAAGTCCCAGGAAATGCAGAATGGAATATAAATGCGTAGATACTGCACCCTCCCAAAGAGAAAGCTGCAAGACTTCACCACTCAGACTTTGAAGGAAACTCCATAAGGCCTTTGGCATGGTCCCTCACACGATCCTTTTCTCTGAATTGTAGAGAGATGCATTTGATGGGCGGACTGCTCCGTGAATTAGCTATTGGTTGGATGGTCTCATGCAGAGGATAGTGGTCAACAGCTCAGTGTCCAGACAGCGACTGGTGACAAGTGGTGTCCCTCAGGGGTCCATATGGGGACCAGTACTGTTTAATATCTTCATCAGTAACATAGACAGTGGGATGAGTGCACCTTCAACAAGTTTGCAGATCACACCAAGCTGAGTGGTGTGGTTGACAGACCTGAGGGCTGGGATGCCATCCAGAGGGACCTGGACAAGCTCGATAAGTGGGGCCATGTGAACCTCATGAGGTTCAACAAGACCAAGTGCAAGGTCCTACACCTGGGTCAGGGCAATCCCCAGTACTAATCCAGGCTGTGGGATGAAGTGATTGAGAGCAGCCCTGTGGAGAAGGACTTGGAAGTTCTGGTGGATGAAAAGCTGGACATGAGCCGGCAATGTGGTCTTGCAGCCCAGAAGGCCAAGTATATCCTGGGCTGCATCAAAAGAAGTGTGGCCAGCAGGTCAAGGGAGCTAATTCTGCCCCTCTACTCTGCTCTGGAGAGACCCCACCTGGAGTACTGTATCCAGTTCTGGAGTCCCCAGTACAAGAAAGACATGGACCTGCTGGAGCAAGTCCAGAAGAGGCCACAGAAATTATCAGAGGGATGGAACACCTGTCCTGTGAGGAAAGGCTGGGAGAGTTGGGGTTGTTCAGCCTGGAGAAGGCTCCAGGGAGATTTTATTGCGGCCTTTCAGTACTTAAAGGGGACCTATAAGATGGGGACAAACTTTTAACAGGGCCTGTTGTGATAGGACAAGGGGTAATGGTTTTAAACTAAAAGAGGGCAGATTTAGACTAGATATAAGGAGGAAATTTTTTGCAATAAGGATGATGAAACACTGGAACAGGTTGCCCAGAGAGGTGATAGGTGCCCCATCCCTGGAAACATTCAAGGTCAGGTTGGATGGGGCTCTGAGCAGCCTGATCCAGTTGAAGATGTCCCTGCTCATTGCAGGGTGGTTGGACTAGATGCCCTTTAAACGTCCCTTGCAACCCAAAGTATTCTATGATTTTATTCTTTGGAGATATTCAAAATGTACCTGGATGCAATCCCGTACAACCTGCTCTCAATGTACCTGCTTTGGCAGGAGGGTAGACTAGAAAATCTCTAGAGGTACCTTCCAACCCCTACCATTCTGTGATTCTGTGATATGTGTGTTAAATATGTTGTATTTTTCTGCATTTCTGCTCTATACCTTTCTGTAGATGCTGATACTTCTTCATGTTTGGATGTATTTTTATAGTAGATAAAAATAAGATAATAGGTTAAAATTTCAAAAGCTTTTTTTAAAAAAGTCTCTGCTTTTGGATTGTCTGGTTTCGGTTAAGACAGAAATGTTATTACTGTGGACTGGGGCTCACGGAATATGTTTGGGGTTTGGTCTCAAAGTCCATCTTCAAAGACTCTGTGCAGCAGTAATGCTTAGGCAGATTTTATTTAAAATGTTTTGGTTTGAAAACTGTATAGCAAATCTACCTGATTAAAGAAAGGTAATTATTTGGCAATGTGCTTAAAACATAGTATTTTAAGGAGTCAGGGGTGACCTTTCTTTTAATTTTCTTGCTTTCTTATCTCAATATCATAGACTTTTATATATATATATATATTGCCATTTGCACCACATTTCTTGGGTCTTCAGGCTCCTTAGGCCTGCTCACTCAGTCCCAGTGAGAAATAGGGAAACATACGTATTGCTGTATGCTCAATCACTTCACTGCAGACTCTCCCAGCTACTTGCCAGTGACTGAGCATGGGGTTTTTGTGCTAATTCTAATAATATGGAGTTGTTTATACTGTCATCCTTCAGCTGTTCTAATTCCGTTATTGCTCCTTTCTCAGCTTTTTACAGGGTTTGAAAATTGCCTGTTCTATCAAGCTCCCAATTTATCTATTTTTAACTTTTGTTTCTTATCCTTCCTCTCTTGCCTGTCTACAGATCCAGGAGAGTTTGTCCTGCCCTCACAAACTAAAGGAATTCATTGTCATCTTCCTCTCCTTACTAGGGGAGAGTTTTTGTGCTGGTCTCTCCAAATCACATGTCTTTACACAGCTTTTCTGTTTTGTCATTACCACAGCAACAAAGAATAATATTGTGAAGTGGTATTTGCATGAGAAAGCAAATGCTTTCTTAATTTATTTTGGAGGTGTGCAGGGGGGAAGGCTTTCTTATAGTTCTTCAGTGCACTTCTCAATTTTGCACCCAAAATATTTAGCAGCACTTTAAAGGTACTTTAGGGATTTCCAACAGAGAAATTATAATAAACAGAACTAAAATTGGTAAAGAAATTCTGTGGCATGACACACAGAGACAGCCCAAGATAAATAACAACAGGACAAACAACACAATTGTCAGCTTAGTTTAAAATGTAATATTTTATCAAAGAGAGAAGTTAACTGTCATACAGGAAGCTAGTTTCTGTGAAGATCATTCTTCCCCTTCCCCAAGTATAATTGTGTGTATATTTTCTACCTTGGTTTCAGAATTTACCAGGCTCAGTCTTGCTTGTATTGTCAAACTTATTACATACTTAGGAGGGAGACTCCAGGGAGAGCCAGCTTCTTCAGTCAGTAGTGTTAGTCTTTAGATGGCTTGCTTCTCTTCCCTTCATTCCCAGTATATTCCCTGAGCCAATGTTTTGACACAATGTTAAGATCCATCTTAAATATTCTCTTCAAAACTAAATACAAGAGGTCTGATCATTTATAGTCAATAAAAATCCCATGGCTGCTCTTGCATGTCAAATTTAACCCAATGTTCTAGCCAAATTCCACTCTGAGTAATTCTTTTTTGCTTCTCTAAATTATCCCTGCAGTTTTAGTTGGATACAATATTGTTCATTTCCTGTCTTATTTTTTTCATGTACTATTTACACTGCTTAATGGTGTACAGCATGTTCCTTTCAGCCCTAGAACCTCTGAAGATTGAAAAAATTGAATTAATCGGTATTGTCTGCTTTCAGCTCTTTCTACAAGTGTTTGCCCCTCCTTAGTGAACTGTCGTTACTCACGATAACCTCAGAGGTGTGCATTCAAACTGATGTATACAGAGTTCTGATGTCCAGTGAGTTTGAGTTTCTGGTGTTTATCTTTCAGTTGTAAATGAAGCAATACCAATAAGCTGTGAGTTTGTAAACCCTAAACAGTTAATGTGTTAAATATTGTGGAAATAAAGTGCATGCCATTGTAGTGAAAGGACATTAGCATTACATGCTAAGTTGCTTGTGTCCTCAGCTGCCCTCTGTGATTTACAACACTGAACATTTTTGTTGCCTGCAGGACCCCAGATGCCCCTGTGCCTGCCTGGGGAGATGATGGGAAAGCAGAAGACAGTTCTGATAGTGAATCTTCATTTAGTGACTGAAGAGACTGATTTTGGCCTTTGGAAACCTCTGTTAAGTGCTAATGTGGTTGGAGCTTTAGCAGACAGTGGTTTTGCATGGGTCACATGGGTGACATGATTTATCTGACAGCATTTTTTAATAACTAATATCCTCCCAGATATAGATACGTTCCCTCCCACAAAGTTTGAACAGGCAGCATGTTTCAACCTGAACCTTCCCACCATGAAAATTAATCATGACATCCTTGCAATTTTTATACTGTCATTTCATATTCCTTTCTGATTATTCTGAAATTACTTTGTAAAACTCTAAAAATTCCACTCTTCTAAACCTCCAGATCCCTAAGGCTGTGTTCTGGTCATTATTGGATTTTCTATGTAACATATTTAACCTAGGTTGCTTTCTTTCTATGACAAATCTTACAGGTAAAGTAACTTTTCAAAATGAAACTGTATAATTCATGAACTCTATTTTTTTTTTTTCCTAATATCCTATCATCTGAAGTAATGCAACAGGAATTACATAGAAGTCAGCTGTCTTGTCTGCAAATCAGCGGTACTCTGTTTTGAGAGAAACTAAAATACAAGTGAAAATATGCTAAAAACCAATCTGAATCTATTTTCAAAGTATATACTGCTATTTGATGTCACGTTGTATTCTCTGCAAAGTTGTTAAAGAAATTCCTGCTCTGTAGAAGAGTTGTTTTATCAAATTCAAGTTACAGTAGTGTAGAAAGCTACAAACATTGCAAGACTGATTTGAAAATGACACTGTGAAGGAAGCGAGTGACTGGAAATTATTAATGGAATACCAGCTTTTCACTACTTGTCCACTTCACATGGGTCGGTAGAAACCACTTTCTGATTGATGTTGAGCTGTGGCTGGGCAGTTTGCATAGGATAAGAAATCACCTCCCAGTTGGTGGTTTTGCTGATAATTTCAGCAGAGCAGCCAATATTTAGTTTTTATAATGGTAAAACTACCTTGCTACCTCTTGAGGTATGCATTGGGGAACAATATAAAGAAATCTACTTGGAGCCCAACTGGCCCTGAAGACTTTTTTCCAAATTACTTAATCTACTCCATGAGTCAAAAATGACATTTTATTAAAGAATCTTCTTTACTATATTTTTTTTCCACATTAAATTTTCACAATCTATTTGAATTCCCCAGATTATTGTGATTATACCAGAATGCTGTGGGCCAGGCAGTTAATCACTTTCTGGTATTTCACATTCTTCCTGAGAACAAGAAAAGATTAAAACTGAAGCTCTAAGTATATAAATTTGTTAGCTTTTATGACTAAGTCCTTATCTTCTCTCTTAGTTATTTATGCCACTTCAGTAGGTTAGCTGCTTTTTTTTCTGTAACTTAAGCATGGTGCCCATTTGAGTCTAGCAGACTTATTTAAGCTCTTCATAACCTGTAAATTGGCGTAATGCCTGAATCCCTATGAGAGCATACATGCACTAGAGAATGTCTAGAGATGGCATTTCAATGATGAGTTAATGATTATGGAATACGTAAACAAAAGTATTCAATAGTTAAAATATGGGAAAACTTGACAAATATTAACATATTAGCAATAAGTATTTCAAAAGTAGATGTTATAATGTTATTTCAGAAAGCGTATATTAAAACACTGGTGACTTTTTAAAATCTATATTTGAAAACTTATTGAAGCAATCTGTAAAATTAAAGCTATGCTTTGTAAACCAAAGTTGTGGTTCTGTTTTCTTCCTGCATGTTGTTTTAAACAAGATAATGAAAATTCTTCTGAAGTCTCTGCAATTCGTGTTGCTCCAAAACTAGTTGAAGTTGCATCAATCTGCTAGCTGAAGGGGAGACTTTTGAAAATAGATGTTTGGAGTTTAACCTAAGCCGTGTTAGTACCCTGACTAGAGGAGAACTGGACATCCCATAACCACTATTCTAACAAGAAAATTTAAGGAAGACTGAAATTAATGAGGACTGTATGTTCAATACTCTTGAACTGATATTAACCTATGTGAGGAAGTAGCATGGTTTAAAGAGTGGACTTGAGGCATAGTAGTTAATTATTTTTTAAAGAAATAACAAGGTTACCAGAGCACATTTAAGGAGGAACGACTTCTATTGTTACCATTTTGAAGAAGCTTTTTGTGTGAAGTAATTTAAGTCTGAAAAACCTATAATCAATTGTCATTTACACCACTACAGATGTATTTTTATGTGGAATGAAAAAGAAAGCCTCTAGCCTACTGTCACTTGTTAAAATGAGGGATAATTGGTCATAATATGTCACAGAATAACAATTTCATTAATGGGCATGGTGAATTTAATTGTTAAGACTTGTGGGGTTTTTTTTCAGGGTAGCTCTTTACTTTCGAATAATGCAACCTTGGTGGGCTTGCAAAAATGTTGCAAAGATTTAAGAAATATCTTGCCACTTTGTCTCCTCTTCCACTTGAGTGATGGCACAATGCACAGTAAAAATTCGAGTGTCTAAACTGAGGAACCAGGGAAAAAAAGATAAAACCTTTCTTATTTACGTTCAGTGCGTCAACAACCGTAGTGCTTCCACTGCCTTCAGAACCTCCTACCACATTAAGCTCCTCTGTTCCTGCCAGTCTCATCTGCTAAACACATCCCGGTACTCCTAGGTCAGAGCCAAATTCTGTCTGAGATGTTTCAGCTTAGGACACATGCTGACACAAGAAGCTATTAAGTATGGGAAGGTTGGTTTGAGACTGAATTATGTCAGCTGTGCTAGTCCTCCTTGATCTACAGCAGTTTTCTACTGAGATGCTGCTAACCCTCAGAAAGCTGGAAAGTCCTTAACCACAGGCTAAATACTATAAGCAGAGAATATTCCAACTTGCTCATTATTTGCCATCTGTTTTGGAATAGAACACGGAGGGAGTATTTCAACTTGGCTGCATAGTAATCAGATATATGTAATACTTTCAAGGGAAGAAGTCAATTTTTAAATGACTTTTAGTTTTAAAAAGCTTCCAATAGCATAGAACTTCTAAAAGGTACAGTATACATTAAGAGGTGTCAGTCACACACATTTAATATACCCAAATTCCAAATTTTAAATGGATTTAAAATCAACATATGGGGCAATATTACAATTTGTAGACATGAGAACTATTTAAACCTCTTGCTGGAATAACTGTTGAATGCATCTGTTAATACTGTGTACTCTTAGTAAATTATGTACTCAAAGTTTAAACAAACTTTTTTTTTTTTACCCCATTGCCATCTTCCTCATTTTGCAGGTGAACTGGAGTGCAGAATATATAAAAGTCAGTTTCTTAAAGATATTACAGGCATTTTAAATGCATGTAGGTGCCTTAGGACTAGATGCATATCTGTATTTATGTAAGTGAAACCTCGAACAACTGTCAAAGGCAAAACCAACATCTGGGCGTGATAATAACTTTATACTGAAGTCCTAGTTTAGCACTCTTAATCATTAATCTGTTCCCTCTCAGCTCTCCTGTTCAGCTACATTTGTAAAGAAAATTGATGGTTCTTTTTCCAAGCTGGGTCTCTTCCTCTCTCTTGTTTTTCTTTCCAGTCTGTGTTATTTACACCAGTGAGTAAGTGTATAGTTTGACATTCTGTGAAAAAGAGTTATAAGAAGCTATAGCCTGTACTTGGAAAAATAAAATATCACTAAGATCTGTATTTTGAGTTGTGTGTGATCAGGTCAATTTTTCTTTCCATAATGTTACGTAGCAAGAAACTGAAGTTCGTGATGGTCTTAAGCTTTCTGGGAATCCATTTTTATCTCTGAAAAGCTGATCCAGTGTTACAATGGCTTTGTCTGCAAAACAGAATGTGTGTTTTCTTAGTCTTCAGAAAATTTGGCAGCCTGTTGTCTGAGACGACTGCAGGTCAAATGCTTGCACTAGTGTCCAGAGCATTATTCTCCTGATACTGCATGTGATGGTGTCTCCATTCAGTCCACTTTATGGGCAAAACAGGAACTGCCACATTAGCTCAGGCCTGTGGCTTGCTTAGTCTTGCAGTTCTGTCTCTGGTAAAAAGCAACACTGAATGCTTTAACGGAAGATGTGAGGAATACCACAGTGCTCCAGCAGTCCCTTTTCCTGCCACGAAGATTTTACTCCAGCTGTGAGCACAGATTGATGTTCAGTGCTAAAGTACAAGTTTGTTAGTGCTTCCAAAAATGTTTGCATTAATTTGGGAAGATCTGGATATTCCTGCCTTGTGTTGACTGTCTAACTTTGCAAGTACAATATTATTTTAAGGATGTTCTATGGGCTAGTTCCTTATGAGGGAAACTAAGCAGAAAATTAAAACAACATACTCTATGCCATACAGAAAATGAATGACGGAAACAAGCTTAGTATAGGATGTGTCTCCACAAACTTATACTCATTTTGAGGAAACAAGTTTAAATAGGTAAAAATTAAAATGCAGATAGTTGGGTGAGGATAGATGTAGCATGAAACACTCAATTTTATTTGGATTTTTTTTTTAAAGTTGTTTTAAGTCAGTGTCTTGACCTTAAACAAGTGGATTATTGTCTTATTCAGTGTATTCACTTTGCAGACAGTTGATTTTTTTGCATCAGACTTCATAACTGCTACACTCTCCCTGAAGTAATGACATGGTAAATAATAGTATTCTCTGATTTAGGTTATATACCTTTTGCTTATCAAACTCTTGTCTGTTCTCGTATATGAGCTTGTACTTGAAAGCTGTCTACTCTGTATGAGGACGTGCTGTTCCCTGTACACTAGAAATCCCATGTTGTGCTACATTATTGCCTTCTGTCCTGGTGTGTGGAATCAGAAGTTGTAGTAAAGTGGACCTAGGCTTGGGACCAGCATTTTACTGGAAAGAGCATGCATCTGAGTGCTGAAAAGGACAGGCCAGAAGACAGAGATCTGGGGGTAATTTTTTTAGATTTATATGAACAGCTCTTTTCATAGGTGATTACCGTCAGCTGTTTAATGAACCTTACCCTTTAAGTCACTTGTAGTGGTAAGTACTTGAGTACACTTGAATTACCCCGCTGTGAAAAATTGGACAGTGGAAAAAACTTGTAAGGCTCATTTTAAATTATAACTCTCCTAAGAATGATGATTGTTCTTTTTGCTTTCAAACAAATGATCTCTAGCATTCATCTGACTCCCTGCTCCCAACAGATTCCATAATCCTTGTGTGGTTTCTTGTAGCACAGTTTACACCATTTTTCAGGAGCATGGGG